GAGCTGGGGGGGCGGGGGGAGGCGGGCTCTCCCCGGGCCCCTCCCCTGCTGCCCTTCTCCCCACCCCAGGGCGGGGCCCCGGCGGTTCGGGGCTTTCCCGGATTTCCCTGGGGGCGGGGCGGTCGCTGGGGTTGAGTCCGGGTCACTGAGCTCCAGCAGACCGAGGGGGAGGCTTTGGGGATTAGGCGGGGGCGAGGGAATGGGGGCTACACCCCGGACCTGTCAGGCGGCACGCAGGGCCTCTCAGTGCATCTCCCCACATCTCTGCAGCTGTCCCTCATCCCTGGCCTCCCTCTCGCTGTCTGCGGCCTGCGCTGTCTCTTTTTGTCTCCTGATATTTGTCTGTATATCTGTCTCCCAGGCAGCCTCTCTCTGGGACCCCGAAATTGGGTGCGGGGCCCTGGTCCCCAAGAAGGGACTTAACCTCATTCTTCCTCTCTCTGGATCGCCCCCTCAGTCCCTGTAATGGGGAAACATCTCCGGGCAAGACCCGAGTTCAAATGCCACCTCCACCCCTGCTTCCCTGGGACCTCGGACAGTGAGTCCTCCTGAGACAGCCTGTTCTGGCAAATGGGCTGATGCCAACCCCTGCCTCTCCGTGTTGTTTGGGCGACAGCAAGAGGAGAGATCAGAAGTCCGGATGCTGTTGGCACTGCCCACCCAGCCTTCATCTCTGGGGACTTTCAGATGCAGGAGAGGGGTGGGGTGCAGAGCATGACCCCGGAGTTGAGAAACCGGAAGCTGAGCCGCAGAGGGACGGGGCCCATCAAGGGGGTGACCCTAGGAGGTAGGGTTGGAAGGCCCCCAGGGTCCTCCCTCTCCGAGCATCCTGGGGCAGGGGGAGCTGTGGCTCTGAGCCCAGGCAGGCCTGGGAAGGGGGACATCTGTGTGTCGCCCAGAGTGGGGCTTGGAAGGGCTGAGGGAGAGGGGGTGCCCAGTCTGAGGATAGATGAGGGATAAAGAGTCTGGGGGAGGAGGACCTGAAAGGGAAAGACAGGCCTGAGAGAGAAATAAAATGGTATGAGGGGAGAGGGTCCAAGGAAGGGGGTATGGTCTGAGAAGGTCAGGAGGACCCAGTGAGGACAGAGGCTCTGAGGGAGGAGGAGAGAGCTGGGGGCTGTGGGCGGGGGGAGAGGGGGAACTGAGGGTGGAGGTGAATTCTGATAGAGTCGGAGGGTTGGAGGGTCTGAAGGTGGAGGGCACGGCCTGTGGGAGGAGGAGCAGTTGGAGGAGGGCCTCCTGGAGGAACCAGCAGGGGCTCGGGGAGGGGAGAAGAGAGAGGCCTGGCGTCAGCCCCGCCCTTAGCTGTCTCTGATTTCCCAGAATCTTCTGCTGCTCAGGAAAGTCCCTGCTCCCGCAGCACCTCCCTCAGTGTCGGGAATGGAGGATGCGGAACCAGGATGCCTACCCCCTTGCTCCCCCGCTGATTCCCTGCGTCCCAGGAGGGGAGGACTAAGGTCTCCCCTCCCTGGGCCTTGCACTGTGGAGGCCCCCTGCTGGCAGGGGCTGCCCCTGGATGAGTCCCAGAAACTTCCCAGAGAAGGCCCGGAAGTCCTGCCTGGTGTCTCACCACTTTCCCTCACTCAGATGGTCTTTTGTACCCGTTCAGATGGCCTCTCCCCGCTGACTGCCTCCCCCCAGGGAAGGAAGGGCCGAGACTGTACCTGTTCAAGGTCCCAAGAGGGGAAGGAAGTCCCAGCTAGAAGGCTGTGGGCCCGGGGCAGCTTTCTTGCTCTTGGGCCTCAGTTCCCCCTTCTGAAAGGAGGGGAGAGGGCTGGGCCTTGTCCTGCTTTGCTCCCAGCTGAGGCTTGGGTGTAAGTCCTGTCTCTCACTTTCAGTAGCT